TCAAACCACCATTGGTGGAGGGGACTATTGACTCTAACAATACCGGTTGATCTGCCAGAAATGCAATCAGCTGCAAAGTCCTGTTGCGGGCTGAGTGGTGTCAGCCCTGCCCGGTTTTCTCTTCCCAAACAACTCAGACCCACAACATAAGGCTCTGTTCACACCTAGGCTATCGAATATGTGAGTTTGTTGCGCGCTTCGTGACACGCGTTTTTACAGCGATTCGCGGTAAAAAACGTGCGACAAACGCGCGTTTCCAAGGGCTACTTGGCTGTATCCCAATGGAAACGCGTGACAAAAACGCCGCAAAGAAGCTCATGTACCTTTTCAGGCGTAGGCCGTTTTGTAGGGCGTTCAGACGGACTGAAATACGGCAAGGTGTGAACCATACCCATAGAAAACAATGGGATTTTCATGTTTGAGCGTTTTGTAGAGCGTTGAACGCGCTACAAAACGTACAGGTGTGAAAAGGCTAATCATTCTGTAGTCCCAAGATAAGGACTAGGAGGGTGAATTACTCTCCTTTAGATAACTCTGCAGAGTGCACAGGACAGTTCTGAACATGTTCAGCAGGTGTGTTGTGCACTTAAATATACTATTAGCAGCGATTTATTTATTAACAGATCATAGTTAGGGTTTACATACATTGAGAGAGGGTTAAACAGGCTAAAAAGCCTACATCACAACAGATTTAACAATTTAAAAGCTGGCCAGGGTTTACATATACTTTAGGAGGTGAGGGTTAGAGGTGAGGGTTAGATAGGACTCAAAGCATACAATTATCCCATGCAGTGGGGCTACCCCGCACTGCAATGGTTAACTGCTAGTTTTTCTTTAGGGGCCTTAAATAGATATTTGTCCAATCCTCAGTCCTGCAGTAACTGCATACCTTTGTCCCGTTTAACCCAAGGGGTGGAATGGCCCTCGGCGTCCTCACATCTAATGCAGGTGAATGGACTGCATTAGACATGATGGCATCAGCGGGGCTTAGACAACTCAGAGCCTACAGGACCAAGGATCAGGTCTTCTTTGAGTCCCTAGAGAAAGATGAACAGTTAAAAGGAGAACTATGGGGTCAGTGTTTTTCCCCATAGTTCTCCTTAGGGTAACGGGAGGACACAAACTAGCATCCTCCCGTTACCCTAAGCTCAGTATACCGCAAGCTACAGCTCGCGGTATACTGAGACGCCGCAGCCGATCCCGACTTAGACGACGGGATCCGCCCAGCTGCATGAGTGACAGCTGGCTCTGCCTATCTAGAGGCAGAGCCAGCTGTACCCACCCCCTCCCCTGTCCGTTCCGCCAGTCAGCGCTGGCAGATCGGAGCGGGGAGAGGAGAATCCAGCCCCTCCCCCTGTCACGGCAGAGAGCCGTGACAGGATCGAGAGGTGAGCGAACCCGGTATGTGTTCGCTCACCTCCCGATCTACTGAGCCGACCTGTGACAGTCTCATTGTCACAGGTCAGCTAGAACTAGGAGGTGAGTGAAAAGCGCTTTCCTGAGTGATTGGATTCTACAGAGATGTGCTGCAAGCATCGTTACTGCTACTGTGTGGCACAAGCTGCTGCTGCTGGTGGAACCTGAAAGCTGTTGGCTGGAGAGAAGAAACCACCTCCTTTCACCTACCGATACGGGGAGCTACAATCCAAGCTGCAAGAGTGATGAGAGGCCAATGGCCATCTGTACAAGGAGAACTTGGGCCCCACCGACAGATAGTCTAGGTAAATACCACTGGCCAGTAGGCTTAAGACCCGGGTCTGTTTGGACTGAGACCTTGCCTTCACAATTTGCTGTTTCAGGTTGAATTACATTAGTCAGTTCAGTTATTTTCTTATTTTTTATCATTTGTTTCTTTTTTTTACTTTTTAATTACCTTTTTATTAAATTATTTCATATTATTTGTTTTTATTTTTATTTAAAAACATTTTTAATCAATTAAAATTTTTTCACCGCTGCCGCCCCTCTGCGCCCTGCCGCCCCGAGGCCGTACCTCGGTGGCCTTGTGGGGAATACGGGCCTGGTTGTTTGCATATGCAGATGGGCAGCAACAGCTAAGATGTATCTGTATATTTAAAGTGTTTCTATTACTTGCTGCTTTGCCATTGTTGTACCTGTTCATTCATTTATTAGGTAGTATATTATTTGTTTAGTAAAACTTTTACAAAACCTCACAAGGTGTTTTGTGGATCCATTACCTGAGGTCTATCACAGATGTGAGACCGTACCCGTATATTCCAGCGGCTCCTTCGGGGGTGAGCGCTACATATGCATGTTAGTCCATTCACCGCAAGGTCTCTTAAGCTGCCAGTGAAAACGCACATCTTCACCGCACTAGTATTGGACCCAATGTTCTTTTTTGTACTGTACTACTGGAGACTGTTTACTACATCACAAGGCACCACAGGACTAGGCATCTGATTGAGTTAATTACACACTGACCACTAATATAGGGGGCTTCTTTCCACTATCCATCAATGTAAGGTGACCGTTTACTAATGTAAAAGAGTTTTTTCACAGACAATATATCTAAGGGTGCCTTTCTCTTCTGATCATGAATATAAGGGGGCCCTTCCCAACTGACCACCAGTGTAAGTAAGAGGGCTATTTTTAGACTAGGAATATATTCTTCATTATAAGGGGTTAAGATGGTGGGGTCATCAACGTATAACCAAAGAACTAAACATCAAGCAGCATCTACAGCATTCCACAAAACAGCTGATTTTATGATTGTTCTTAGGAGTTTACAGGTTTAGAAAAATTAGGTTTGTGGGACTTGAATTAAAAAAAAAATACTTTAGAAAGCTCTTAGGATTAAAACAAAAAAAAAAAAGACGCTATTTACTATTATTATTATTAGGTATTATGTATTTCAATTGAGCCCTGTTCACAATAGCCCGTCCGCCGAAATGCTGCATTTCAGCAGATGGGCTAATTTTTTGGGGCAGCTCCGGTACTGAGTGTTGTATTACACGCTGCCAAAACTGTCACTGTTTACATTTTCTTTTTTAAACTTTATTGGTAGCGTACAATGTGTGCACTTGATTCAGGTCTATGCAGCAACCTGCAGTGAGATTACATTGCAATAAAATGCAGCATGCTTGCATATTATTGTAGCATCCCACCTATCAGACCCACATTGTGGTGTGAACAGTGCACATTGGAAACAATTGTTTTCTATGTGTCCTACCAGTGGCCTGCACTGATCTGGTGCGGTACAGGTCACCACACTGCGTGAATGGGCCCTTAAAGCTAAATGTAATTGCTTGTTTGCATTCATGCTTCTCCGTGCCAAAGACCAATGCTTTCTGCAACAAACACCTGTGTTAGGATCCTAGTACCAGAATTTGCTGTTTTGGCCGGTCCTTAATTCAGGCTGGCACTTGATTTGGGCAATGGAAAGCATTCATATAAACTGTGGTATTGAGCGACAACAGGAGAGTGATTGACCACTCAATCATTCCCACAGAAGTCCATGGGACCAAAAAGTAGCTCATGTACTTTTTCCAGCGACAGACGCTTTTCTGCTTGCGACAGAACGCTCAGGAATGAGATTCCTTGTCTTGAGTGTTTTGTTGCGCTTAGCTTTAACCAACAAAATGTTTAGGTGTGAATGGGGACTAAAAAAGGTAAACTTGTAATAATTCAGGAGTTATCCAAGCTTTTGCAGTAAAGCTATTGTTGGCTGCCGGCTATGATCGGAAATGTTCCAGCCGCCTCCTTCGATCAGCTGATACAATGCCGTATGCAGACACTTATCTTGTACATTTTGCACTTGAATGAAAGCACATTACTTGAGGGGCATATTAATACAAAAATCTGGATCAGTGAGAGATCTTCATAGAGCATCAGAACAAAAACACCCTGCCCATATTGATTAGCCTGGTTCCATATTATATGGTATTGAATCTTATTATGTAGGTTCTCATTTGTAGACAAGTTTATTTTCTAGTTTTTTTTTTAACCAAGCCCCTGAATCCTTTTGGGTTGACGCAGACATATTCCAAGTAGCATGTCTATTTACAATGCTGTGAAGATAAATCACTTCCCCCTATTCAATATCTTATTGCCCACTTGACCTTTGTCTAATATCTGATATATCAGTTTATGTATTAAAGCCAGTGTGCAAACTCAAAGGGTATTTGTGTTCAAAAAAATAAGCATTTCTATATTGTTTCCATAAATTCTACACAACAGCGATCTAGAAGTTTGTAAATGTACTTATTGAAGATGCCCATACGATGTCTTTCCTCAATGCACGGACATGATTTCACTGTGAATATGCACTTGTGTCACTCTCCCAGAATCTGCCATCTGAACTACGCTCACCTCATTTGCAGGTCCGTAGGGGTGCGGGTGATCATATTCATACGCCGCCGGAATGGATCCTGTATGCGTCCTGGCCAGAAAACCTGCACCCCTATAGACCGGCAAATGAGGTGAGCATAGGGGGGGGGGGCGTACCGCCACGTAGCCCCATAGAGGAGGACGGGGGCTGCGTTCTAATCACACGCAGCACCTGTCCTTCCCGGCAGCTACTTGGTACGGCCGTGCACGCAGCACGGAGCTGTACGTGCAGGCCGATTCGTGTGTGAATGTGCTTTTCTCAACAATGTTACATTATCATTGCTTGCTGGAAGTAATGCATGATTGGAAATGTACTGTTGCGAGATTGAATCATATGAAGCAGCAGGGAAAGAGATGCAATGCACACTGGGAATCCAGGAAGTTGATGAAAGTGATGGGCTGACAGAAGGCCGCACTCACTACATAAAAGGGATTTCCCCCTCGCCAAGTAAGCTTTGATTGCATTAGCAAACAACTATAGAATGTATTCCCATTACAATGCTGATGTTATAACAGGATAGTATTCTGCAACTTCAGAACTCCTAAGAATGCTTTAAGATTGAACGAGGTGTGACCAATCTAGAAGAGTCACAATTTGATTAAACAGACAAAAGTTGTCAGCAGTGGAGCTTTTGGTCAAATACAGCAACTTCAAAAATAAATTGGTCATTCTTTATTATGAAAATACAAAGTTACACATAAGCATTTTTTTCTTTAAACACATACTGCACATGTCTCATCAGTAACACTATATTGCAGACACTGATCACAGAAGACGATTCAGGAGTCCAGCAGGTTACTTGCAACAACTGCAGGTATCACATCCCTTTGCACATTCGCATCCCTGGCTGCATTTACTGCAATCTGCTGGACAACAGGAGCAGCAACCTGTGAGAAAAAGCAGCAAGAAAAAAAATAAATCAGTGTGCAGCATTGATATTCTGTCAAAAAGAAATAGAATGCACTTTGACCAGTATTAAGAGACAAAACACACCAATATCAGCCCATCTCATCATGTGCCATATCTAAGATCAACAACTCTTAGATGGCCCAATTCTAGCGCGTGTTTAGGACAGTTCGCTTGGTTTAGCTTAGGGCTACGTGGCCAATGAAATCCAACGGCTTGTTGGCAGTCACCTCATTAGTACACAATTCAAAGACTTGCCAATTCAGTAACAAGTCAACAAGCAGTTGGCTTCAGCAGCAGATACATTTTACCACCAGCTCATTATCCAAGCCAGCTTCCCCTGCAGCACATATTTATAAAAGTGGTGTTCAGGCAACACTTACCATCCTGCAACATTTGTTAAAGGAGAACTATGGGGTTAGGGCTTTTCCCCATAGTTCTCCTTAGGGTAATGGGAGGACACAAACTAGCGTCCTCCCGTCACCCTAAGTTCAGTATACCGCGAGCTACAACTCAGTATACTGAGACGCCGCAGCGGATCCCGACAATTATGTCTGGATCCACCCAGCTGCGCGACAGCTGGCTCTGCCTATCTAGAGGCAGAGCCAGCTGTACCCGCCCCCCTCCCCCACCCATTCCGCCAGTCAGCGCTGGAGGATCGGAGGGGGGAATCCAGCCCCTCCACTGTCACGGCAGAGGGCCGTGACAGGATCGAGAAGTGAGCAAACGCTGGTATGTGTTCGCTTACTTCCCGTTCTACTGAGCCGACCTGCGACAGTCTCATTGTCACAGGTCGGCTAGAACTATAAGGTGAGTGAAAAGCACACCTCAGTTCTCCTTTAAGCAAAAATCAGGATGCAACCATCTGACCTAGCCGAGAAAAGCTCACCACACATGTAATCAGATTGCAACAACCTCCTTTAGATCTACCAAGAAGAATGTAGTGCAAGGGCCTGCCTAAATGGCTACAAGTTGATAGAGTAGTTCAGGCAGGTCCTCACATTAGAAGTCTAAAGTTGATTGTAGGGTCAGATTGTAACATGTATTGTGAGGAATAAGGTTCCACTATGATCCCTCTTAATCCATGTATGGAACATTATAAATAGGAATTACTCAAATCCATTTTATTAAATGAGACATGGGTGGCAGGGCACAGATAATTCCCACATTTTATCCAGTTAGAGAACCTGCAATTACAGAAAAATATCCATTGATCTGCCAGAAAGGTCTCAGCTGCAAAGCCCTGTTGTGGGCTGAGTGGTGTTCATCCTGCCAAATTTTCTCTTCTCAAAACAACTCAGACCAACATAAAGGCTAAGCATTCTGTAGTCCCAAGATAAGGTGTAATTAGCCCTCCCAGTCCTTAAGATAACACTGCAGAGGACCCAGGACAGTTCTGAATGTCTGACATGATGTTTTGCACTTAACATAACTTCCATGGTATATTTAACAGACCAGAGGGGAGCAAATTAGATTATGGTTTACATATACATTAACTGAGAGGTAAACAGGCTAAAAAGCCAACCATTTAAAAGCTGGGCACCTGGCCAGGTTTTACATATAGGTGAGGAGTAGATTGGACTCAAAGCATACAACACATCAGATAAAGAAGAATTTCAGGTCTTAGAAAAATGTTCCCATGCAGTGGGGCTATGCCTGCACTGCAAGGGTTAACCGCTAGTTTTTCCTCTAGGGACTCAAACACAGAAATACTAATTTAATCCGCAGTCCTGCAGCACAACTGCTCACCTTTCTCCCCCCTCCAGTTGTAGAATGTCCCTCAGTGTCTTCACATTTAACGCAGGTGAATGGACTGCATTAAACATGACATCAGCGGGGCTTAGACCACCAGAGCCTGCGGGACCAAGGATCAGGTGATTGTATTTGAGTCCCTAGAGAAAAATGAAGTTAACCCTTGCAGTGCAGGGATAGCCCCACTGAAAGGGTTAATTTGCTCAAATCCAGAGTTTAAAAATCTGCCCAGATTAACCATTTAAAAGCTGGGCACTTTATTAGGGTTCACATCCAACACTTTAAAATGAGAGGGTTAGAGAAAAGGACCCAAAAGCATACATCATAACAGATCAACTATTTAAAAGCTGGGAGCCTGATAGGATTATGGATTATAGATTTCATGCATTAGAGACCTATTTTTTAAAAAAACGATTGCAACATAAATCACACATTTAATTTCTACACTCAGACTGTAGACTTACTTTTCTTGCAGGACTTGCATTTGCAGTTTTTGCACTTGCAGGAATCACCGCAGGAGCAAGAGGCACCTAGGAGAGAGATAATGTACAGGTTATCAGGACACAAAAAGCAAACAAGTATATCCCATCATCCATCTGTTACCCAGCGTACATCCCCCACATACCTGTAGCGCAGTTGCAATCTTGAGGGTCCATGGTTAGCTGTTGTTCTGGATATAGAGTCTGGATTAAGCTGTGTGGATTTTGCTGAATGAATCACAGCGTTCTGATACGGTTTATATAGAGCACATTGAGAGCTGAGTGCAAAACACAGACAAGTGCATAAACACACCCCTTGTCATAGGACTCCCTACTACACGTGTGTAGACTGACCAGAAACAAGACGTGCTGAGTGCACTAATTGCTAAGTCAAGCAACAAGCAAGGCGCAGGATGAGAAGGCATTCATCATAGATTGTTCTGGAATCTGTTCTTTTTGGTCACTTTATAAAAAATAGATTAGTCAGCAAAAGAAATCATATTCTCATGTGATATGGTTTTCCTTGCTGTACTTCAAATGTTTGAGGCTCTGTTCACATCTATGCGATGCAAGAGCGCGCACAATGCAGCACGTGATCCAGCATCGCATCTTGCAGTGTTAGGTGCGATGCGGTGCCATTATAGTTAAGGCTGGGCACACACCTTACAACCATCGCAAGACTTTTGTCTTGCGATGGTTGTAAGGTACTTTAAAAAAACGTACGATCTGCCTATGTTGCATAGGCAGATTGTACTTGCGATGATCGCAAGCCACGCCCCCTGAGGGGCGGGCTTCCGATGACCGCAATGCCGAACGCGCAGTGTGCGCTTGCGCACACCGGCCCGCACGGCTGTTATCGTACGGACATGCCACAAACCCGCCGAACATCGTACGATGCTCGGCGGGTTTTCGAACATGTCCGTAAGTTTAAAGTCGTGCGACCTTACAGTAGTAGAGGTCGCACGGCTTCCACACACATTACGATAATCGCACGATCGCGGGATTTCCCGCGATATATCATATGATTATCGTAAGGTGTGTGGGGACATTAAAGGTCTCATTCACATGGGGTGTGTTGCCCTGTATGGCCAGTTTTTGATGGAGCAGCTTCTTCCTAGATGACCACACGCTTCTTCCTACAGCTACATCCGGAGCTGTAGGAAGAAGCGTGTGGTCAGCTCCTGTAACTCTGTGTAGACGCAGGAGCTGTGCGCCCTCACATCCTGCTTCCCGCAGCTTCGAGTTTTGACAGCCGCATACAGACGGTGTGGGGACCTGGATCCATCATGTCACCATCTGTGTGCAGCTGTCAAAAATCAGAACTGCAGGAAGCGAGGTGTGAGGGCACATAGCTCCTGCGTCTACACAGAGTTACATAAGCTGCCCGCCCACTTCTTTCCGCAGCTCTGAGTATTGACAGTTGTACACAGATGGCATACGGCCTCGGACGCAGACATGATGGATCCAGGTCTGTACACCTTCTGTGTACAACTGTCAGAACTTGGAGCTGAGGGAAGCAGTGTGTAAGGTTGCATAGCTCCTGCATCTCCAAAGAGTTACATGAGCTGCCCGCACGCTTTTTCCCGCAGCTCTGGACGCATAAAAAAAACAGCCCTTCACGTTGTACATGGCAACATGCCCCATGTGAGTGAGGCCTAATGGCACCCCAATGCACCTAGCCCATCACAAGTGCCTTTCTAACTGTGCGGTTTAGCTGCGGTAGGCAATCCATTCAACACAACGTCTATGGTGTGTTACAATACATGTGCTCTGCTGTGCAAAATGAATAGCTACACAACACAGTGTGGTACATGCTTTGCCTTGCTATTGCAGGAACACATGGTAAAACGCACATTTTACCAGGGCCGGATTAACATAGGGCTACTGGAGTGCCAGCTCCAGGCCCACAACTGAAAATAGGCCTGAGCAGCCCGGATCGCCACGGTGTGCCTGAGGCCAATCCGGGCTGAAGACAAGGAGGCTAAAGCGCTGGCGGCTCTCTAATCAGGAATATTTGGCGGCCGCTTGCTGGGGCTCTGCTAGTGAGCAGACACCTAGTTAGAGAGCTGCCTCTGCTGCTTTCGGCCCAACTGACCAACAGCACCAGGCCCATGATACTCCTAATCCGGCCCTGTTCACACCGAAAGCGTGTGCGTTCCAGAGCGGTAGCTGCTGGAACGCACGGTGATCGCTGATAAATTTGCGGTCGTCAGGGAGCCGCTATCTAATAGAGGGAGACTCCCTGAACATCAGGGAGACTTGAGATCCCTGCCTTGCGTTTTGGGGCGGCAGGGGGCGTGGCGGTGCATTATATTCAATGGCACCACTTCCACGCCCCTCCGCCCGCAGTACGATCGGACGCCTGGCAAAACTTTGCCAGCGTTCTGTTCCACTGCAAGCGCAAAAAATAGGGCTTGCCACTTTTTTTTGTTCATGTTGCCCACCCCTGATGTAGAAGAATAATGAGGGGAATTTATCAAAACTGGAGCAGACAGATTCTAGAACAGTTCTCCATAGTAACCAATCAGCTTCTGTCTTTCATTTTCAAAGCTTAACTGAACAAATTGAACAGAGAAGCAGATTTGTTACTAAGGGCTACTGCTCCAGATTCCGTCTGGTGAATTCCCCCCCAGTGTTTGTATTGAGAAAACGGGAAGTGGAAGCAGACAAGTTGTAATGCCAGGTCACGTAGCTGGAGTTGTTTATCCAGGAAAAACACACGCTGAATGAGGTGGAGGGGGCGGGGAGTGTGAGCTCACTTCTCATGTACTGAATGAGTGCAGCTTGAAGACTCTGCACACGGCACAGCGACCTGTAAACACAGTCCGGACCAATCCCAGTAATCACGCCTGCAAATTTGCTGGCGTCTAATGATTTCAGCAACTAGGATGAAGTCATTTTTACGCTTCATACCTTCCGTGCTATAAACTACCAAATCAACTGTTTTGTAAGGATGATACAAGAGGAAATTTGTGCTTTTTATTGTAGAACAAAATCAAATCTTATGTGTTATTTTCTCCCACAAATTGAAGCAAATGACAACTGTTTTCTAGATGGTTGCTGGAGTCCAAATTGATATCTAAGGGCTTTACCAAGCAGCTACTTGGTAAAACACACATCGGCTGACGTGCGGCACCTGAGCATCTATTCACACCACATGTGGTGGAAAACAACAGCCAGAGCAGCCCCAACACAAGACAAGGAAAAGTACCGCATGCCTTTTTTTTTTTTTTATCTCAGGCCCCTGCGCCA